ACCGTGAGGTAAAATTTTCATACCATTACATCCCTAATTCTAAGCCTGAATACACTTTAAGTAGAGAGAAGAGAGCAATCAAAAAAAATATTCTGTGTGGTCCAAAGGTTCTTTTGGTCAAAAGTTTTTGCAATTAGCAACATTTTAAAAACATAAATCTGACATGTTTTGCATGTAGAAATAGTTGCAAGTTGCTAGACTAGACAGTTATCTATATGAGACCAGAGCAAAAATATACTGGCATGAATTTAGAAAGTGAAATATGCTGTGCTGCATATTGTTGTTAATACATCATTTTGATGTGACAATTTTATAATGTTGTTTGGCCCAGTTTGGGAGCTACCAACTTTGATTTATTGCAAAAACCAGAAAAATCCACTCTGATAGACTGATGATGCACGCATACAGCAGCAGGGAAGGAAGATAATGAAATATGAAACAGAAAGCAGTTTACCAGAGGCGTAGGACACACCAGTTACCATAAATCATTTAATAACTATTGATTAGTTTTATGTTTCGTTGAATACTTAGACCTGCAATATTTATATATATAATTGATTTCTTTGGCCACTTGGGGGCAGCAGAAACAGGTGTACAGTGGGTCTATAAGAGCTTTTTTAAAGAAAACAGCTCTCTGCTGTAGCCAACAATGACATTATGAGAGCAGTGAGAGTGAACCAAAACAGTAAAGTTGCAGCCAGACAGAAAAACAATGAGCTCAAACTCACTATACAGATTAGTAAAACTGAGGGGAGCTGCTATTCAGCTGATAAATCTGTGCAGGTTCATCACTACTAGATACAGCTTTCACATTGTTATTTGATATATTGTTATTATAACAATATAGATTATAGCTGCTTTAAATGTAAAAACAATCCCTAGCTCCAACATAAAAGAATTATATTGTAGATAAGGAAAAAGAGCTGTTGGGTTTAATTTGCATATCTTTTTGCTCTCCATGTTAAAGTCAAATTAATCAAAACAAAAACACTACCACTGCACCATTATGCTATTCTTTTTTCTGAATTGTGTGTTTTCCCTCTCAGGGCCTGCTGCAGCAGAACGGTAGCTGTGTTCCTGCAGAGGAGTGTGGCTGCGTCCATCTGCAGCACCAAGCTTCAGGACAACCACCCACCCCTGTCACTGTCCCTCAGGGGGCCACGGTCGCCATAGGCTGCAGTACCTGGTTAGACCTTGGATGTTCAAAACATATGAGACTATTGTCTCTATTGTATCAGTCCTATGTTACACCAGAGGAGCTTGATACTCATCTTTTACAAGACAGAAAGTCTGAGACTCTTACTCAGTAACAGCAACTGTGTTTTTAATTGTGTTGTTGCAGTGCCAAGCACTGCATTAAAACAGGATGAATGCAGTATGAGGTGTTTCTGACCATGGCTACCACTGTATTTCTGTCTCTGTGCTGCATCTTAATCATTCTCTATTTCTTTTTTATCCACTTCTTGTTTGCTCTCTGGCTGTCTGTTTCTCTGGGATCTATTACTCAGTTTGACATATTTTCTGTTATTGTCATCTTTTTGACTGTTCTGTCCTCCAGCCTTTGCCATGATGGAATTTTGCAGTGTGACATGAGAGAGTGTGAAGGTAAGAAAGCACAGTTATGAGAGTAAAGTAAATAGCTCCTGGTTGAACAATCCCATCACCCTGTTACCCTGTTTTTTCTTACCTTTCTTTCAGTCATCCTCAGCGAATGGTCAGAGTGGACTCCATGTTCTCCCTGTGTACCCGCTGCCTTCCTGCAGCACAGCACCTCCCAAGCAGGAGTTATCAATGGCAGTAACATGGTCTCAATCCAGAAGCGTTTCCGGGCCTGTTTGGACTTGGAATCTGGTCTTCCAGTCTCTAGAGAGGAGGAGGAGGAGAGCCAATGTCCAGGACCACTAGTGGAGGAGAGGCTCTGTCCACATGCTAACATCTGCAGAGGTAATGGTGTTTGTCCAAGAGGACACAAAGAGGTTTACTCTGAATGAAGTCTTTTATCTTAGTCCAGAAATGCAGTCAGTTCCTCAGTCTGCCTTTGTCAAGCTCCAGTTGCTCCTTGAACTCCTCAGCGAGGGAAAGTAATGAACGTGACAGTTTTGCTCCACCCGAGTTCCCCTCAGCATGTTGCAGCAGTTTGATACTTTGCTCCCACCATAAGATTGTATGCAGACAACGCAGTGAACTAGTCAGAGCTAGACAAGCATGGCACCATAGGAAAAATGAATCGCAGATTAGGTCAGAGAGGGACTGTGGTGATGCGCTATACAAATAAAATTGAATTGAATTGAATTGAATTGAATGAAATGACTCTGCCATGACTTTCTCTGGGGAGGAGAGAGAAATACTTTTATGCCAAAATATGGGCTTAATACAATACAAATGTTTTTGTGTAGCTCTTTTCAACAACAAGGGAATTCCAAGTGCTTTACATTACACATAAAAAGCATTAAGAAAAGTTGTATATGAGACACAAGCCAATACAGGAAGATATAGGATAAATATAAGCTAAAAATTTAATAAAACAAAAGAAATGGGGGTTTAGCAGCATTCGGAATGAGAAGCAGCTGCCTGATCAACTTTTTAGAGAGACATGCACAGACTCAATTACAGGACTTGAGCCTATTAAAGATAAATAAATCCTGCTGAATCATAAGTTGTTTAATTCTTGATATATTTGTAAGATGATAATATGCTGAATTTTGTAATAAAAAAACATATAGAGGACACTTTGGCCCATCAAATCATTGATTTGTTAAATGTAGTCGTTGTGACATTGTTATTTAAATGTGTTTGTTACTGACATAATTCATACGTTGTTGTTTTTTTCATAACTTAAGCTAGTGGGGAGATAGTTGTAGAGGTTGCACAGAAGAGGCCAGAGAATGGAGCCTTGGAGAACTTCATGTAATGTTTGTTCAATTAGATGTGTAAATACTAGTTGACACAAAGTAGTCTCTATCCTTAGGTTTTCATTGGTATTTCAGTCAATATTTATTGTGTGTCAGTTCACTGCTGCCAGTTCAGATTAATAGTTCTACCATCAGTAGACTGTTTAAGAGCTTGCAATCAGTATCCACTGTGAAAAATGGTGTTGTGCATCCCCACTGCCCTATTCTCATTATTCCCCAATGGAGTGAAAATGGAATTAGGATTTGAAGAAAAGAATAGTTTGATGGCCATGTGTCTGTGGGGAAACATGAGGTTGATTGGATTCGGCGTTGTATGTGTGCAACGAATAATTCATCTTGAACTTAACTCTATCTTCGCTGGCCCTTTCCCTTTGGATATGAATGGCTCTAATTTACTACCATGCCCAATGGACCTTAGGTTTGATTTGCCTGTCAAATATTTAATGTATGTACTTCATCATAGTCCAGATTTGTAAAACTGCTCCATGAGGATAAACAAACAAGATAATTAACTAACTCTAATCTCTAATCTTAAATATAAATCAGACATCTCACCAGCTCAAGTATGCTTATGTCCATAAACAATAAATAAGCTTTTGTTATTGTTGATGATGGTGATGATAACAGCAATTACAGCTATTACAGCAGTCATCATGATAATTGCAGTCATTATAATTAGGATGAGAACAGAGTTGATGGTGGTTATGATAATGATTTAACCCTTCCAGATTTATGTCAGTGGAGTGTGTGGAGCGCCTGGACGGCCTGTGCAGAGCCATGCAGCGGTGGAGTCAGGCAGCGATACAGATGGCCCTTGGCCTCTCCTCCAGGACCCCACTGTAAGAACCAACAGACACAGAGCCAGAGTTGCAACACAGGACTCTGCCCAGGTACAACTCTCACTATACTTTATTTACATACCGTCACAAACATGAGGGAAACAGAAAGGAAAGTAGAAACCTCCATCAGCAAATTGTGTGTCAAAAATCTTACTTATGAAGAGTGGAAAAAATTGATTTACCTTGATTCCTAGGTGAGCGCTGTGAGGATAGGGGGCGGACCTACCAAGAGAACTGTGCCAATCAATGTCCTCGCAGCTGTACTGACTTATGGGAACATGTGCAGTGTCTCCAAGGAACCTGCCACCCAGGTGATATTAGACTTCTACTATGAACATTAGCTTAAAGGACTCTCTTATTTCTGTATCAGACAGCAAAATATCGTTATTTTACATTGTTCTTTTCTTTCAAATTTTTTGAATAGGTTGTCGGTGTCCAGAGGGACAACTGTTGCAGGATGGCCACTGTGTGTCAGTTACAGAGTGTCGCTGCGGTATCCCATCGGGGAACGGGACACTTGAGTTCATCCCTAAAGAGAGGCTTTCTGTGGACTGTAACACGTGGTGAGAACTGCTTTGTCAGTTACATTTTTAGATGTGAAAAGTCAAAATTACAAGTTTGTTCAAGTTGATCTGTTATATTAGAAAAGGAATTCTCTCATTAAAGACTACTATTCCACTAATCTCACTATGAGATTAAGCTTGTTTCTCACCTCTCCAACACCCCCCGTCTGCAGTGTGTGTGAGAATGGCAAACTGGTGTGCACCAAGCTTCCCTGCCCGGTTTATGAGCCCTGGAGCCCATGGAGCTCCTGCTCAGCCTCCTGTGGGCATGGCCAGAGGACAAGGACACGCCCATGCCAGGACACAGAGGGCGGCCCTTCCTGTGCTGACACCATGGAAACCGAGAGTTGTGACATGTCATCATGTCCAGGTCTGAGAATTTCCCAAAATCTTTTACATCATACACAGGTGTCCTTGGAGTCTTAAAAAGTCTAAAACCAAAAAATCTGAACTTTAGGCCTGAAATAGGATTTTGACAGGTCTTAAAAATTAATAAAGTTATCTGAAGTTGCATTTTTCAGTCTTGCTTTTTAAATGTATCTCTGGGGAAAATTAGTATTGACCATGCTGTCAGAAGAAAACGAAACCGACATGGAACCAGTACCGGTTTCCCTTCATATCTTTTAAACATTTCTTTGGCTGTATGGACGTGAAATAGTTCTTAAAGGCTATTCATAATGGTCTTAAAAAGGTCTTACAAGTCTTAAATTAAACCAGTTGAAAACTGCGGAAACCCTGATCGTACTAATTCAATCTAGTGTTAAAAGGGCACATTTAACTTACTGAAGGTTTTGTTTGTCGTTTCTTGTCAATTCTCTGTGTCCTCCCTCTCTCTCTCTAGTGGGTTGTTTGTTGAGCGAGTGGTCACCCTGGAGTGAGTGCAGCGCCACTTGTGGTGGCGGGGTATCAATGCGGAACAAGACAGTACTTAGAGAGCCAGAGCCTGGTGGGATGGTTTGTGTTGGACCCCTTGAACAGCATACTATCTGCAACACCAACAGCTGCCTGCCTGGTAACCAACACATCATTGAAAGTTGGAAATTTAGCACATTTATGTATTATATCAAGCAATATAATTCCTGGATTATACTATGGCATATAATGGTATTTTCTGTTTGTTTATTTACAGTGTTGTGTAGTCAAAAGTGTGACCTCAAATGTGACTGAGTCTGTTCTGAAGACATAGATTGTACAGAGAAAGAAAATATGTCTGTATTGAAATATGTACGAGACATGATATAATCCATTGGTTGTTCATTTGTCTATGTGTGATGCAGAGTGTCCAAGCGGGCAGGTGTTTAGTGACTGTTCAGGTTCCTGTCCATATACTTGTGAGGACCTGTGGCCACACACACAGTGCTTACCTGGACCCTGCACCCCTGGGTGCATTTGCCCTCTTGGACAGGTTTGGACACCTCAATTTGTGTGTGGTTGGATATAATTTAATTTTACCCCTTACTAAGATCTGATTCTTTCCTGTCTCATTGTTTCCTTCATAGGTGTTGCATGAAGGCTCCTGTGTGTCCCACGCCAACTGTCCTTGTTCACCATTGTCCCTGCCGGCTGGTTACCAAAGCTGGAATGTCAGCACTGAGGAAATCACAGAAGCAATTTTTCCCCCTGGAACAGCCATTCAGCACCTCTGCAACACATGGTAATACTCAGAGGCTGGATCTTCTGAATGACATGGTCCATGCAGAAGTGTCCAAAAGGGATGTAAATGTCTAAACCTGTGCCTCCTCCCAGAAGGAGAGTCTGGCCTCACACAGACCAGTGCTTGTGTATTTAGGTGCCCCTTGTTAATTTGTAAAGCCTGGATAGCTCACCTGGTAAAGCTGGCATCCCATGTACCAGGGCTGAGCGACCCAGGTTTTCAATCCAACTACTGGCCCTTTGCTGCGTGTCATCCCCCCCCCTCTCTCCCACCTTAATAATAACACTAAAACTAGTGGGCAAATGGGGCAGATTCTATCTTAACCCAGTTTTACTAAAGCACATGGTAAATGAAGATCAGTATAGTTTATTCCTGGTTTCCATCATGTATACCTTACTACAGCTTTGTCACTGGTTTAGATTAAGTGGCATATTAGTGTTGATCAAAGACCACCTGAGTGCAAATACCTGGTAAATATTACATGGGGAACTAATATTAATTTCTACTCCATACTATAAGTATCTTACTGGAAGCAGACAAAGGTGAGGACAACGTAAAAAAGTAAGACCAAACAGAGTGGATGAGGAGTAGATGACTGTGTGTAGTCAGTGAACTTGACTTGGACTGAAAGTGCATCTGACTTATGCACTTTGGTGATTTCAGTTTGTTTTATTGAGACATTTTCATTGACGTGGGTTCATTTAAAAAATGAAAAAAAGCATTACCTCCATTTTTTTTATCAACTGGCTTCCTATACGTTAATGTATTCATGTATTCATCCAGCCCTTCTAAAGAACATTATGATGCATTGCAACAGTGGCTGTGTTTCATCAATTTAAAAGTCCTGCCAGTCACCCAATTATATTATTGAATGAAGATCGCATGTCCACATGAACAGACAATAATATATCTTATTAATAATTTGGGGAAAATAAGGTATGAGCTGTATTACATAGTCTGGCTTGCAGCGAGACCATTCCCTCTTGCATTAGATTTCCATCACTTCATTCAAGGAATGAATGCAGTATCATTTGCGTCAGTACTTTTTACAATAGCTTTAACAAAACTTAAAATCCAGAGTAATACACTCTACTTGTCTCACTTTATTTGAGTGATCTTAAAATCTGGGTGTTTATTTATAACATCTTGGGTACAGTGTACAATATTCTTTTTTTAATTTTTTTTATTTCTTAGATAACAATTCTTAATAAGATGCACACAAGATCACTTTGCAGTGATTTGTGTCTAATCTATCGATTTGTTAAAACATTGCTTAATATGGTCAGTCTCTAATTCTTTCAGTCAGTGGAAAACATTTCAAGTCCCATGTTTGGGAATTTTAATCTCAGTAAAAAATGTCATCATTATAATGATCATTAAGACTAAAACTACTTGGTTAAGGGTATGGGGAGATTGTGGTCATGGTTAAAAAAGCAGATGGGATGAAAACAGATCCTCAAAGTCTGACAGTAGAACAAAGTCCTATAAAAACATCATGTGTATTTAAACGATCGAAATAAAAAACTGTCTTTGCAGTAATATGCACAGGGATTTAAGTGTGATTTATTTATAATTTACGAAGATAAGTCATTTTCACAGTGATATTTTAAAATTAAAAATACTACTCTAATCATTTTTTAAGTGTTGTGGCGTATTGGCAGAGTTGAATTTCATTGTCTGAACTATACAGTCAACAACAGTCCAGTTTGGTATTATGATATCTGCTGTAATAGATAGTCTGGCACGCTGCAGACATGCCGTAAGTCATTTCATCTCCCTCACCGTTGTTTTGATACTCATTTAATATAGTCTGATGGCCTCAGCTGGGAGACATGATGATTGCTTTGGTGTCTCATTGTTCAGTAATATCAACCTTACTGTTTGTCCCTCACCTGATTCTTCTAACTTTCTCCAGTGTATGCCAAGGAGGAGCGTTCAACTGTACCTCCGAACTCTGTGATGGTGAGTGATGCTCCGTCACAGCTGTTCTTATGGAACACATTTCTTGCACTTTATATGGCCTGTCTCTTGTAGCAAGGAAAGCACCAGCACCAATAATCTGTGAACTGTCAGGACCACGATAGATATGTCAACCTATCTATAGTTAGTAACAGCTGCAGTAACAGTTGGCTCAAATAACTGAGCGACAGTCACATCAATCACAGCCTACAAAGGCCATTACTGGGTTTTTGTTTCATAAACACACAATGCCATCTTGAACTAGTGGGGGGAGAAAGAGCGTTAATAAAAGATCAATGATCTTGTATCAAAATATTTTGTTTTGTGATATTGTATTGATTCTCCAAAACACTGTATCGATTTTTGTGGTTAAACCTGCAACCACTAGATAAAAGTGTTGTAAATGTAAACTGAGGACTATGATGTTACTCACATTGTATGCATATATACACATATAGTGTGGTGTGTTCTTCATACTATGACAGTTTTCCTAAAATTAGATCTTTTTAAAAAAAAAAAGCAATATATCACAATATACTGAATCTGAGTCTGTATTTCCCACATTTACAAGGGATTAGTTTAGTTTTGTGAGTCCTTCTTCTTGCCTTCTTCTTTTCACTCTCCCTTTCTTTATTTCTCTTTTTCCATCTCTCCTTCTGTTGCTGTATTTTCACTACGACACCTCTGAAACTGAATCTTAAAATTGGCTTTGGTGATACTTTGCCCAAAAATGTACACAATAAAAAAACTACAGTATTCTGTGCATCATTTTTATGTTGACATTGCCTCCCTGTTGGCTCTCTCTGCATTATTTCTGGTAGGTCTTGCAGTTAACAGATGACTTTAATAAAAAGCAATGTGGGCATAATACCCGCAATTGTCGTTTTATTTGGGTTAGCTGAGGAAAAGTGCTCAGATGAAAAATATTTTCTATATTCTGCTTTACTGCTGCAGGTAAATGAAGTAAAACTAACACTGACCTATGTTTATATTCTTCTCCCATCCTCTCCTTCTGCAGTGGACTGTGAGTGGTCCAGCTGGTCCCCGTGGAGTCCGTGCTCAGCAAGCTGTGGTACAGGCCGACAGAGCTCCACCAGAATCATCCTGCTGTCCAGCCAGTATGGAGGGGCCCCATGTGAGGGCCCTGACCACAGCACCACGAACTGCATGGCCCCCGACTGTGGTGCGTGAGAAGAGGGGAGATTAATCATCATAAAGAAACAGCATTGTTCTTGTATTACAGTGTAGTCAGTTCTTTAATTATTTTTTACTTTATTAAGTATGATCAGGACAAACAGTATGTTTTCACTTTAACGTTACAAGAGAAAATGTTTTCTGTCGCTGTTTGGGGGAGGGGTTTAGAAAATGGTCAGGTGATGTTACTTGTTATTTACTTTTCTGTGTGACAGCAAGAGAAAGAAACAGTGGAAAAAATGCTTATTAATATTGTGCCTGCACTCATTGTCTGTCCATACCACCCTTATTCTACTTTATTCCGTCATCCTGTCTTATCCTCACTCCTCTTTCTATTTTCCCTTCTCTCCTTCAGCGTGTCCTGTCGGGGAGCAATGGAAGAGGAGCGTGTCGGAGGATGTTCCACTGTGCGAGAGGAGCTGCCAGGACATTTACTCCTCTCCCGTCAACTGCAGCCTCTCCGCCGAGGGCTGTGTGTGTCGGGAGGGGCTTTACCGAAACACGGAGGGTGTGTGTGTCATTCCCGCCCTCTGCCCCTGCCATGACCAGGGCATCCTGCGGGAGGTACGCACGCACGCACGCACGCACGCGCACACACAC